AAATGCATGTGCTAAAAAACAAAAAGAACAAAAAACAATAACAGAAAATAATATGCAATTTTAATTATAAACACAAATGCTTTTGAATTGCATGCAATGTTTTTTTTTTGTTTTCCAAATGGGGGAAAAATTATTGCCGGCTTTATAGTATGCAATTTGTGAATTTATAAGACCATTAAAAACAAATTTTTCTTTCTTTTCATTTTTTATAAGATTTGGGTTCTAGAATTTTTAATAAAGAATAAAAGAAAGAGTAAAAAATAAAAATATTAAGAGTCTCCTTGACCATAAAGCAAACAAGAAAAAAAACAATAGTCCATTCTCATTTTCAAAAATAAAAATATTTTTTATGTTTCTTTGTAACAACACACTTTTGATATTAAAACTTTTCTGTTTTTGCTTATTTGAAAGAGTTGTACATGCATAAATATTATAAAAGTCGATACTTCATTTGTAATACAATTGGTTTGTACCCCAGTTTATTAAAACTTAGAAAATATTATATTAGTATAGGGGGGGAGTTTGTTTCATCTGAGCAATTTGTGTCAAAATTAGCGAGCCTAATATTCTATCTATATAGGATTGCCATATTAGATTTCTTTTCCGAGGGTTTGTCGTTTTTCTATATCACCATTAAAGGCCATTCGAATTTTTTTGTAATTTTCAAATATGCAGAATAAAATTTGCATTAAATTTTAAGAAATATTTATCCTATAATGCTGTTAAAAATTCGAGGAAAATTTTTGGATGAAATTTTGGATCTTATTTGCAATTTTTCCATAAAATTTAATTTTGTTTTTCAATCGAAATTTTTTCATGAAGTTTTTGACACATTTTCAATCGGAATTTTGTAAGAAATTCGATTTCGACTTTTGACAAAAGAGAACTTTTTCAAGTTACTCTTTACTTGAATATTAAAATTTCATGGTTTGAATCTTTGAATGTTTCAAATTTGAAATTTGGCGAAATAAAACGATTGAACAATTTTTAATTTGATAGAAGTTTGAACAATTTTTAATATGAATATGATCAAGGATTTTGTACACTTTTTTGAAATTTTTTCATCCTGGCAACCTTATTCAATTCAAATTATATATTACTTATTTTATAGTTCAAAATATAAGTTTGTTTTTATAGGGGATTTGCCGAACTATATTGTTGAATTGAAATAATTGTATAAGAGTTCGATTTAAGTCAAGATTTGTTGACTTAATTTAAAAATTATTTCAAGGATAATTATTTTTTTTCTACACTATTGCAGTTTATTAATATTTTGTTTTTTGAATTTTCCTATAAACACGAGGGAATATTAAAAATTTTATGTTATTTATGTTTATATTGTATTAAAAATTGCAATTTTCTATAGAATAACAGTGTATAATAAATAAGAATTGAATAATGTTTGTTTAAGCCTCTTATATTGTTTCGTAATTTAGCATCAACACACGAGCACATCATAAATATAATTTTGATATACGTGTACATATACATATGTATGGTGCATTGTAAATGATTATTGTGTATTCAAATTTAATTCTCAAGTATTTAAAAAAAAATGTGACTTTGATTTCTTTTTGTTTTTTAAGAGTTAAAAATTTTTTTTCTTATATTTCAATTGATGTTCCCGCTTAAAATTTAATGTGATATTGAGCTCATTATAGTGTGTTTAACATGCAAATTCATTTCTATTTTATAAAATTAAAATACATACCTTATAAAATTTCAAAATTATTTGGAAAAAACCAATTCAAATAAATTCAATCAACAATTCAGCTATTTTAAAACCTATGTGGTTTTTTAAAACCAAAAACAAGCATGTATTGCAATGATAATAAGTTCTGATAATAAAAAAAATTTCGGATATTTGTAAAATATGCACCCAGTTATTCTTACAAAAAAATTCTAATTCATTTCATAGTCTAAGAGAGAGTGTTTGGTCGTTCTATACCAATGAGATAGTTTGAATTCAATTAGTATGTGTATACCAAAGAATTTTCAAATTTACGTAGTTACGCCTAGGAACCAATTGCCAGAAGTTATATTTCACATATTTGTCCCTTATTCCTGCTAGCCTGTTAGGCTTTCAAGTAAAACATTTCGAGTTAATTGAAATTGTAATTGTTTTTTAAATACTTGGAATTGTATTATTCAAAAGCTAAATTATTGAGTTAACAAGATACAGCTCAAAAATATTTGGAGAATTTTGAAGTTTTTTTGGGACTTTCCCTAAATTGTCGATTTATTTTTATGTTATTTAATTTCGATTGACTATATCAGGTACATATATAGATAAGCAAAGATTTCCATATCACCTACTTTATATTTTATTATATACATATATAGTAGCTGGTTAAAAAAATCTTATTTACGATTAGACAATTTTTGAACTTTTGAATTTTGAAAAATCTTTTTTTTCTGATTTTTTTGACAAATTCCAGGAATTAATATTAAGAGTAAGTTTATAGCGGAAAAAACTTTCTTAATTTTTTATACTTCATTTTGTCAAATTTTTTTTAACTTATGTGTGCCAGTATATTAGAATTTCATGAAAGGATTTTTATACAATTGTAGTAGAAATTTATTTGTAAAAATAATAAAAGAGTTCAAAAAAAAAACTTATTTTTAGATTTTGGGACTTTTGGTTTTCATATTTTAGCATTTTTTCACAAAAATTTTGAAAAAAAGAATACTTATTAATTTCACTCTGTCCGTCCGTCTTTCGTGTGGCTCTTTACAAAACTTATATTTTTACTAGAAACTTAGAAGAAAATTTTTACCTTATTTATTTTAAAATTTTTGTTTTTGTAAAATTTTAATTTTCGGTACTTGAACATTCTAAAACTTCAAATTTCTTCAAATGCAAAAAGTTGACGGTAAATATCACGGCTCAAAAAAAATAGTTATCAATATCACGCAATTTTAATCCTTGAATTCGATCCTTATGCTAACGCTTCTTCTATTCGTTTTTTAAATTCATCCTAAATGTATGCAATTTTTTTGTATATATGAAAGTATATAATTTAAGCAATGCAACAGATTGTTTTTAACATCAGTATTTCCATTTGTTGAAGGAAAAAGTGCTATTCTATAAAGCCTAGCTTTGACCCAACTCTATTTTTTCGCAAATTTTATTTAAATTTCAATTTAAAATATTCATTCAAACTTTATAATAGAAAAATTTTTTTTGTTTTAGAAAAGAAAATTTTGAAAAAACAAAATATTAAAAATGAAACACAAAAAAGTAAACAAAAATATGAAGAAAAGAAAGTGAGTGTCTTTAAAACAAAATGCGCTCTAGACTTTCTTTAAACAAGAAACTGTACTATTGCATTACCAAAACAGACTTTCGCAGTTTTTACATGTATAACAAAAATTTTCTTTCAGTTTGAATTTATATGTATGTGAACTTTGTTTTATATCAAAATAGTTTGTAAGATTGGCACGTAAATAATAAGATTTATTATAAAAACAAAAAAAAAATCTCGTTTGTTGTTTTTTAATTTAAAATCTAAAACGTAGATAGCAGTGCATAGTGGGGGAAAATCTGTTAAATTATGAAAGTTAAAATTGTTAATCGATTATGTCATAAGCTTTTTAATTTGAAAAATTTAATAATATGATGATTAGATTTTTATGAGGAAAAGCCTTTAAAATTGCTAAAATATTTTCTTTCCATTAGAATTTTATTTGTACATTTTCCTTGAACGAAATTTCCGGCATTTTGCTTACACGTGCAGTAACAGTTTTACTTTAGTATAACAATAATAATGACTAATATTGAAAGCTTTTAACTTTAATATCAAATTCGTTTTTTTTTTTTAAATTTCATAAAATTTTATTACTCATTTATATACTAAAGCTTTTGGAAATGGAAAAATATCGGAAAATTTGATATTCAAGCATATTTTAAGAGCAATTTTGTATAGGTAATGTTTACACATTGACAGATTAATTTCATAGAAAATTAAATGATTCATTTTAAATGTATTGCGTACAGCAGCCTTATTATGATGTTAAAGAATATTGTCATATATATATCTGTTACGTTATATTGGCGGTAATGTCTGTAGTATAATCATTAATTTTAATGTAGAATAAATCGGAACAATTTTTAAAATAATATTTCCGCTTTGAATATTAATAAATTTATTGAAAAAAATGATTATTTTTTTGGTATTCATTTGAAATTTAAATTATTTAGAGCAATACAAACATAATCAACAATAACATGTTTAAACAAATAAATGGATACGTATAGTAATTATAGAATGAAAATTGTTCACTCATTTAAATCTGCCTCTAAATACATGCACGCAGCATGCAGTTGTTGTCAAGAAGAAATTAGTAAGGTAACCGGAACGGATTCGTTTAAGTAACATTTAATTCTTCATAATATTGTATAGAGTTACTGCGAAAATTACTTACTGATTTGAGAATCTTTTGCGAATAGATTTCGAAATACTTATTCTCTTATTGATGCGATAGTATCAATAAACCGGAATATGTATTCCCAATGTAATATCGTTGATGTAAAGAAAAGCGTAGAAAAAATTTAAAATTTATCGATTTGACGTCGATTGCGAGAATGTGTAAATAAGTTTGCACAAATTTAGCCTGCAAACGTATAAGATTCAGCTGGTTCAGAAAATAAATGTACGACAACATTATAATGATTTTGTTATACTATCGTACAATTGTTTTTACGAACACAAAATTTTTTCATTTCTTAAAGGGAATTTGTTTTATATTGAGTAAGATTAACGTAAAGTTGAACCTATACAGCCTGTATTATAAAAATATAATTATAATTTCATTATAAATGGAGGCAGAACTACCGTAAACAATTGATTTATCGAAAATAAATTTAGTGATTCTCTGATTTCGAAAATGAATTTGTTTTTACCTTTCTGTTCAGAATTTTTTTTAAATCTTTTTTATTAATAAATATTTTTTTTTATATTAAAATTACATCAATATAATTTTTGTTCTTTTGATTTCAGAGCTTTCATGTGCTCAACAATTTTATCAATCACAACAGAATCAGCAAAAAGATGCACAAGTTGTATTAGATATAAATAATAGAGATAGAGCAAGTGGGCAAGTTGTTGCAGCAATTGGTGATTCTGCAACAATAATATGTCAAAATCCAGGGAAATTTGATTATTGCCGATTTGTTGTACCAAGTCCTCTAGAACCAAATGGAATAAAAACCTATGTGTTATCAGATAAATTTCATTCGACAGATCCAAATATAGCATATTTTGGAAATGGTTTAGATAATGGTCATTGTGGTATTAGAATTCAAAGTGTTCAAGAACAATTAAATGGCAATATAACATGTTCAGCAGCTGTTGGACCAAATGAATTTTCAGGATTAGTTAATCTTTTCATTGCAAGTAAGAAAGAATAAAATTTTTAAAAATAAATTTCTACACAACTAACGTACTGTGTATTAGAAAAAAAATATTTTGAATGCTTTTATTAATGTTTAAATTTTTGACTTTTTAAGGAGCGCCACTAGAACCAGTTATTGAACAGGAAGGACCACCAAGTCGGAATGGATATGAAGTCGGTCAGAGAATCACATGGAAATGTATTGTTAGAGATGGACGTCCACCAGCTCAAATCCAATGGTTTATTAAAGATGGTGAACAGTATTTACCAATAAACTCAATGAATCCACGTCATCGTTTCGAAACACAAGAAGATTTTTCAAGTCAATTATTTACAAGTATACAAGAACTGGAAAGAACCATATTAGTTGAAGATGACGGAAAATTTTTAGTTTGTCGTTCAATACATGAGGCAACAAGAAATATTGCCGAAGCTACAACACAATTGATAGTTAAATGTAAGTTTTTATTCTTTTATGTTCTTGAAACCCATGAATTTATTTAATTATAAACTGATGATAAAAAATATTTGATGCTAATTAAATAAAAATATTTTCTTTCTTGTTTTAGATGCACCAACTGGACAACGAGAAGTTGATATTTATGGATTACAATTAGAAAAATCAAATTCAATTACCGTACAAATTAAATCAAATCCACGACCACGTATTGAATGGAAAATTGATGGTGATATTATTGAAGAACGTGGTACAAGAGATCGTTTTATAGCACCAGAATTACAACAAGTTGGACCAAATTTATATAATGCAACATTAACAATATCACCGCTTATGGTCGAAGATTTAGTCAAAACATATTATTTGTCAGCTTTTAATGAAATTGGTAGAGCTGAATTTAGTGTTAGAATTAGTTCGGCTGATACACCAGCTGAAGGTCTTGAAATTGGTGCAATTGTTGGAATCGTAGTCGTACTTGCAATACTATTGATTGTTATACTTTTGATTGTATTTGCCAGAATGACAGGAAAATGGTGTTTTGCCCGTAAGTTTTCTTTTTTCTTTATTGATTTTTGTAGTGAAAGAAATTTTTTTTATAAAATCTTTATTTCTGTATAACTTTTCTCATTATTTATATGAATGTCATTTTGGTTATCGTTTTCTTTTTTCATATTTACTTTGTTTTATTCTCTTTAACTTTATTAAAATTATAAGTAGAATTTTTTTAAAATTTTAACCTATAAGTGTAGAAGGTGTTTGAATTCTTTTATAGAGTATATGAACTTTTTTTTTTTAAATATGGCATTTTGACTTTGAAAATTTCAAAAAAGTTTTCTGAAATTCAGCTCTTAAAGTTAAACCTGCAAAACATAAACGTTAATTTATAGTTCTACATTTATTTCGTAGTTTTTAGTTTTGCAGTTTTAATTTTAAAGGCTGGAATTTCGGAAAAGATCGTTTTTTTTCTGTGTTTTATAAAATTTTTTGTTGCAAAACAAAGTACGCCCTTCCGTTATGGACTTTGTTTACTCAATTAAAATATTTTTAAGTTTATTTCACTAGGTTCTTTGCTATTATATAACATATAACTTTTTCAAATCACTCTGTAGTAGCTTGAAGTGTTATACAATCTTGTAATACGTTTATTATCAAAAGAAATTTAATATCTACTGTGATTTGATATTTTCAAGTTTTTTAACTTTACTATTAATGTTTTATAAAAGTTCTTTTAATACAAAAGAATTCCTGAATTTTAATATATCCGATGAACTGGTTTAGTTTGTAGAATTCTCCTTGGATATATACTTAATTCCATTATTTATTTAAAACAGAATTCTTCCATTCAGAGTGAGTGTGAAATTATAATTTTAAGAAATTAATGTAAAAAAAATTACTTTCTTTATATAATGGATACCTTTTTTTAATTAATTTTATTTTCTTTATCACATAATTATGTTTTAAAACTACTTTAAAGCACACAAAGTAATCATTTAATTCTGTTTTATTTTTAATATTACTATTAAATTACTTTGAAATTTTGAAATACATAAAAAATTTTTGAAAATAATTGGAAGAAGGATAAAACTTTAGTAAACAAATATTTAGTAATAATTGTTTTAAGTGTATAAAAGTATAATTTAATATTTCGTGGTTTGGAATAATATATTTTCATATTTTATTCGTGTTGATTAATTTTCAATAAAAAAAAAAATTAGTGAAAATATTATTTAAATTAAAGTGAGAAAAACAGAAAACAGCAACAGCAAGAGCTAACTGAGTAAATTTTTGATTTATATTTTTAATAAAAAATGTGTGATACATTAGAAAATTTTCTCTCTGTTATACGGGATAAGTGTATAAAATTTGAAATTTTTTGTAAATACAGTTTATTTTTTTGTAAATTCTTATTGAATTTTTACATTTTTCTCTCTAACAGGGTTTATTTTTTTTATAATAATAATTATACTAATATAAAGTATTAAAGAATATACATTAATATTTTTTTTTATTAAAAATAATAAAAATACTAACAAAAGTGTTGTAAGATATTAAAAAAAAAACAAAAGAAATAAAAGAAGAAAATTTTGGAATTTGAGAGCTATTAATGTTTTTAACTTTGAAATCAGTGAATTTCATTGCAGATTTTACAATATTAAACAGTATAACAGTTATATTAAATAGTATAACAGTTATATTGAGCCGTATAACAGTTATATCAAACAGTATAACAGTCATATTGAACAGTATAACAGTTTATTCTAATATGTATTCAGTATAAGAATAATTTTCTATACAATATATTAATTTTTCGTATATACAAATTTAGAATCCATTAAAATTAGATTCAATGCGGAAATTTCTAAGATAGCCAAATTAAAACGAAGAAAAAGAAGATCTTAAAAAACCTTATTTAATTTTTTCTTTTAGGAAAAAGGTACTATGATTTCCAACAATGCAAACTTTATGAGAAAATTATAAAACAGAATTTATATATGAGTTGTAAAATGTCAGTTTTAATTAGAGTCCTTCAAAATCGTTCAAAAACGATTTTGAATAATTGAATTTGAATTTACTTGCAAATAATAATTTTGAGTTACATATAGATTCGCCTTATTCCCATAGAATAATGAAAGCATCTAAAAGTAAACATGCATGAATGCTTTTAATTCCAAAAAAAAATTTTAGATTTTCTTCTTTTATTTTAATAATATTTTGTAAATTATTGAGTAAAAAAGCTTTTATCTGTCTTTTTTTTTAAATTATTGATTTTTAGTACATAAAGAAAAGGGAAACAAAAAAAAATATGTAAAAAAAAAAATTTTTTTTTTGTTGCGCATGAAAAGTTAGTTCTTGTCTTGTTGTTGTTTTTACAGGAGCATCATTAGACACTGATATTAGTCCTGATTCCGAAGCACAAATTCAACATAATGATGAACTTGATACTAAAGATACTGAATATGATGGTGGTGAAAATCCAAATCAACAATCAGAAGAAGTAACACCACCAGTAACCGATAAATTAGAATCACAAAAAAAAGCTGATATTAAAAAATCAACGAATGGCCAACATCAGAATGGAAGCAAAGAGAAAAAAACTAATACAAATACATCAGTTTAAAATTAAAAAAGTTTTTTTAATGTTAAAAAAATGTATTTTACGTCAATTTACATTAAAATAATTAACTTTTTTCTTTTTCTTCTTTTTTATGAAATTTTAAAAACATAAAATACAAAAATTTTAATATTAATAATTTCGGTGTATACTTAAATAGCTTAAAAATAATTTTCAAAAAAAACTAATTCCATTTGTTTTTTTTTTTTGAAATTTGTCACAAAATAAAATCGTCGAAATGTTTGTCGCATTTAATATAGGTATACGTATTGTATATCGTATATAATATCGTATTTCGTATATAATATCGTATACGTTATTCTAAAGTATTAGCATTTATTAGATTTCAATTATAATTAAATATAAATTTATTTATTTTAACTTTTGAAATTTTAAAATAAATAAATAAATAATTTTCCCTAATGCCCGGCAACGACTTAAAACAATTTTAAGTATAGATAGCTGTAAAATAAGTTAAAAATAACAGAAAAAAAAATAAGCCAAAAAATGTCTTCGATCTTTGATCTAATATTCCAGTTTTTAAATATTTTACTTATTTAAGAAAAAGAAAATATTCTTTTAAAAATTCGAAAATGTTTTAAAAAAATTAAATTGTCCTGGTCTTTAATTGACTTTCATTGATCATTATTAATGTATCAGTTGTTAATTATTTTGTCTTCAGTGTGTTTTCAAATTGTAGAGTTAATTTGAAAGAGTTATACATACATGTTAGTTGTAGGATTAGTAGAAAAAAAAAACAAGAAAAAAAAAAGGAAAAAAAAATAAATATAAAAATTTTAAAATTTTAATGCAATTATTTTGTTTTTGAATAGTGTTTATTATTTAATTTCTATTTTACATTTTGTAATTAATTAATTATTGATTATTACAAAAATTAATTTACAAATTAAATTTTATTTTTTGCTCAAAATTAACCAATACAATGAATAAATTTGCTGCCAATTTAGCATAGAATTTAATTTTTGTTAAAATTTTAATTACATTTTATAAACACTACTTTTGACATTCAAAATACGATAAATAATGTATTTTAAATTAAATTCGCATTACAAAAAAAAATAAGCGCCGAAAATGTCAAAAAAATTTTCTTTATTCAATATTTTAGATAATTTAAAAAATAATGTTGTTAAATTTGTGTTCATTATTTTTAAAAATGCTCTTTGAATCGAATATAATTTTTAATATCGAATACAATTTGTAATATCGAATATAAATTTTGCTTTTTTTCTAATATTGGCGTCTCAATATTTTGCTTAAGCAAAGCAATCTCAATCCTGAATAAGAGAATAGTACTTTGAATCTCATTGTTGTAATTTTGAATGTCAATTTGAATATATTTTTCGAATATAATATTAAATTAAAAATTAATCAATTTTTTAATCAATTTTTAAAAAATAATTGTTTTATCACAAAAATTATAATTTTTAAATTTAAGAATAGAAATTTTCGTATTATGTCTTTCCGTCCCTATTGTATTTTTTTTTTTTTTTTGGAATTATTTTTAGAGTTAGTAAGATTTTTTGTTTTTAGTAAGAAGCAATTTTGTTTTTCCTCTTAAATTGAATTAAAAATTTGAATTTTTTATAAGTTTTAGTTAAATGAAATATTGGATAAGAAGTAATATTTTTTTTTTTTGAATTTTGCTTTAGATATTTAAAAGTCTTTAAAGAATTAAAAAAATCATTGAAAAATTATAAATATTTTTGCAAAACTATAAAAAATTGTTTATAATATTTAAAATTTTTAAAATTTTATAGAAATTTCGAAAATCATTTACAAATTTTATAAACAAACCTTTTACAAATTTTAAAAAACTTTTTACAAAATTTTGCTTTAAATATTGCTATGTTTAGAATTTAAAAACAATTAAATATTGTAATGAATTGTAATTCAAAAATAAATAATTGAACGTTTTTTAGAATATTGAAAAAAAAATTAAAATAATTTCAGAAATAGCAACTGTAACTGCCGAATAATAATAAAATATTTTTTTTATTAGAAGAAAATAAAATTTGCTTATATAAACATTAATTAAATTAAAATTTAATCAATATTATATTTTATACAACATATGAATATACTTATATATATATATATATATACATATATGAAGTAATATTAGCTAGGCATCTATTTTTTTTTTAAATTGTAATGAAATATAATATTAATGTGTTAAATAAATCTTTTTTTTTTATTCATAGGAAATTTTGTTTTGTATTATTATAATTATTATTAAATAATTTTTTATCCTTTGCATGAAAATTTTTAATTTCAATTTCATATAAAAAAAGCTATTCTTGGACACATATACAAACAAATGTACTTTAGAATGTGGGTTTTTATAATTGAAAAGAAAATTATTAATATTTTTGAATTAATTTCATTAATATTTTATATAAAACCAAAGAAATGTTTACAAAATAATTTATAATAATTTTTCTATGATTCTTTTCTTTTTTAATTTCAGCAAAATCTACAAAATCTTCTACAAGTGAAACGTAAGTGTAAAAATATTTATTTATTTTATAATTAAATAAATTGTATATTAATTTTTTGATTAATTTTTTTTTTTTTATGTATATTTGCACTAATTTCATGTTTACATTTTAATTATTATTCATGTATAAATTTAGAATTATTTAGAAAAGATGAAAAGAAAAAGAGATTTAAGTAAATAATCATTTTTTAAAAATTCATTTTCATTTAATTGAAAACATTCTAAATATGTTGAGTTTTAAGGTTATGTACGATATTATTGAAAGAGTTTTTGATATTATTGAATTACTTCTAATTTTTTTATTTATTTATGGTGTTTGAAAATTAAAATTAATTAAAAACAAAAATATTAGAAAACTTTATGCTAAAAAAAAATTTTTTTTTGTTGTTTGTGTTAGACGGTATTAATTTTTTTTTATAATTTTTTTAATGTCACGCAACTTCGAAACAATATAGAAATTCATTTTAAAAACCTTTTTCCGAAAAAAAATATTTTTTTTATTTGGTATTTTTTCTTATATGAAATAGTATTAATAATTTATTTTCTTATTTTTATGGGCTATAAAAATTTGTTTACAGTTTTGTTTATTTAAATTTTTCTTTTAAATTTTAGTTTTCAATAATTTCAGAATATTATTGTAATATTTGTTAGTTTGTTGGGGGGTAGTATTTAGATTGAATATATTTTTAATTAAAAATTTTTTCAAAAATTAAACAACATTTAAAATTTTCTTATTTTTGAAACAAAAGAATAATTTTTTTTTGTTATAACAATTATTTTAAAAAATTGATTTTTAATTAAATTAGAAGACGAATGCTTGTTCCCTCTTTTAATAATCGATTCAAATATTTGATAATTTTTTATTTATATGTGGATTTTTTTTTAGATACCTCAAGTATTTTAAAGAGTAGATTTGTTTTAAATATGTATTTTAGAATTTTTATGATATTAAAAGTTTATTAATTTGATTTGTTTAATTTACTGTGTGATGTTGTAAGAAAAGTTTATTTTGAGTGCGTTTTTTGAGCAATAGAGAATTCTAAAAGAAGAAAAAATTCTAAATTAAAATTTTTTTAATATTTTTGGATAAAAAATTTCTTAATTTTTTTAATATGTTATTTTGGTCAGATGCGGTTATAAAAGGTATATTACATATAACATATGTTACTTAATAAGATTCCTTTAAAAATTTTTGGAAAAAGACTTAATTTTTGGAAAAATTTCATCGGTTCTCTATTGTCAAAAACATGTTTGGGATAAACGGCCTTTTATGGGCATAAAGTATGCAACAAATCGAGTGTAATATTTTCTCTTTTTGTATTAAATCCACAATTGTTCTCAATTTGTGTATTTAGAATTTAAATGTTCAAAATATTAAATAAATTGTGCCTGTCCGTATGAGAGTTTGCCTTCATCATAGCATTAATTCATCTACATTATTTTCATTAAAAAAAAAAGACCAAAATTATATCTAGTTTTTTTTAATATTTTAATTTGATTTCCGTTTTTTTGTTTTATAAAATTAATTTTTAATTATACATTTTTCTTTATTTTTATTTGTTATTTCTTCGTGGCGGATTTATAAAAAAAAAATTTAATTATTAAAAATTTTAATTAAATTACTAAAATTTCTGAATTATTATATTACATATGATTTACATACATACATATATATAAACATCAATGTAAATATAATAAATATGTAAACATACAGTCCAGATGAATTTCAATATACTAAGAATAATGGTAATACTACTAATAAACAAATAAATAAAAAAGGTAATAATGGTGGCGGAGATCCTAATGTATCACTTTTACCAAATCAATCGAATGATGCGAATGTCATTCAAATTGAAAATAATCAAGATAATTATGATAATCAATCGTCAGATGATGGTGGAAAACCACCATCAACAATATGTTGTGGTTTATTTAATAAAAACAATAATGATAACGTTCAATATACATTAACTACAAATCGTGAATTTTTTGATTCTGAAAATGCTGTTTATAATTCAACAACCGTTCCAATTGATAAAAATGATAAGGGTGGTGAAAAAAGATTTTCAAAAAATAAGAAACCAAATTCTTCACCACAATTAAGGCATACAAATATGAAAAATCGTACAGCACAAAATCGTACCGCTTCATATGCCGAAGCAGTTGGCTTAAAAAGAGCATCCGATTATCAAGGAAATCGTCAACAACCATTACATAATCCTAAAGATGATGTTGAATTAGTTACAAGTAGTATGTTACATAATCAAAATGATGATCCATCAAATGTAAATATTAACAATGATATTTTACTTAATGAATTAAATAGCCGTTTAAAAAATAAAAATAAAATTGATGATACAAATAAATATAATCAAACACAACCACCAGATGTAATTACAACTAGTTCTGGACGTAATAATTTACAAAATAATAATGATAATCAAAATATTGATAGTAGTATAACATCACCATCTCGTAATAGTAAAATTGATTTATTGACACGTGGTAATGAACTTGGAATACCTGGTAATACTGTTATACCTGGAGATTCATCAGTTGAATCAAGATTATCAAAATGGATACCAAAAGATCAAAGAGAATTATTAGAGAAGCAAGCACGTATTCTATCAAATTTCCGTACACCACCTCCAGTCCCTGAAAAACCAACAAATAATAAAAAAACAATTGAAAATCAAAGTAATAATGAAGTTAATGATAATATAGTGGAAGAAAATTCGAAATCAACAATTCCTCCAATAACTACAAAGACAAAAATACCAGTTGATTCAACGAAACCATTCGAAACAGAAATATGAAATTTAATTTTATTTATAATTTGTTTTGTACAATAAAATTTCCTTAAGTTATAGATTTTTAAAATCTTTTGTATAATGGACAAAAATTTATTATGTTTCGATATTTTAAATTTCGAAATTTTATTATAAAATGGCTGACTTAATATTTTTGAAATTAAATTTTTAATTTTTTACATTTTATTTACACCATAACACTTTTAAATTTTTTTATTTTGTATATTTTATTTTGAAATAAATTATTTTTATATTTTGAGTTTCATATTGCAATAATATAATGTTGCAGTCAATCCAGATATTTATATTTAAAGGGAATTCCATGTAATACTGCACTAAAACACAATTCAGCTTATTAGTTTTAATTGCTGAATTGTGTATTAATATGGTTACTGCAATTTTGAAGACAGGGATATTTAATAAAAAATATTAAATAAACAATTATAATTATTTTTTTTTTTATTATTAATTTCTTCAGTTTCGAAATTATTATTTAGTGTTAATGTGTAAATAAATAATAATATTTTATTAATATTGTTTACTGTATTGAAAAAAATAAGGAAGAAATTGTTATTTTTTATTGTAATAAATTTGTTTTGTTTTTTATACAAAATAATAAAAATTCAAGATTTATGTACATAGTGCAATTTATACTATAATATATGTTGTCTAATATTAATTTGCAAGCATATTTTTTTTTTTTGTTAAAATTGATTTTGCAAAATTTTACGAAAACAATTTTTTATTCGAAATATTTATAAATAATATTGTATGTATATTTATAATATATTTAAAAATTGATACACAATTAAAAATTCAAATGCCGCCTGGAAGGCTCATAACACCTCCTTCATTTCGAACATTTAAGTAATTCTGCCGTAAAAAAATATTATTATTGTTAACACAAATGCAAAACTTTTAATTTGGTTCATGTCCATAATAAATTTTCTGATTTTATAAAGAAATTATTAAATCAAAAATAAATTGAATTCAAAAAGTAAAATTTAATTTTTAAACAAAAAAAATTTATATATATATATATATATATATGTATAGTTTGTTAATTTTTTCGATACTGTAATGAAGGTGTTCACTCTATTGTTATGGAGGTGAAAATATTGTTATTATAAACACTATTTTCTTAAATAATTACAATTTGCATATCACAAACGAAAAAATATATTTAATAAAAATAATTTTTCTTTAATAATCTCAATATAAATTGAGTAGAATATTAGAATTATAAGTTATATTTTGTATAATAAAAATCAATTCGAATATTTAATTTTATTAAAACATCACGTATTAATAATATTATAAGTTTTTTATTTTCATTAAGACTATCGAAATTACCGGATATTATTAACAGTATTTTTATATAATTAAATAATTTTAGAAACAAACAAAAAAGGAAAACTAATAAATAAAAATAATATTTAAAATATAAATGAATGGTTTATATTATCTTGAAATAAAATAAAAATTAAGATTATCAAAATTTGTTAAAAATCCTTAATTGATTAAAGATTTGCAATAAAATTTGGAACAATTTCAAATTTAAAAAAGTTTCAAAAAAATTTAATCTCAATTGAAATATTTATTTTTTTTAATTAATTCAAATATATTTCATTTTTTCAATTAGTTTACGAATTACAATTAAAACAAATTTAGAAATTGAGCACACAATCAAAATAAATGCAAAAGAAACGTTTATTTAAATTTAATTCTATTCAATTGCAGGATAATATAAGGCATTTATTCTTAATATACTATATGAATGCAACAAAAATATAAAAATTTCATATTTGTATAGATAGTTTCTAAAAAAAAAAAAGAAAAAAAAAATGTACAGGATTTATTTATTTTTAAAATTGTTGAACAAATACATAAATTTTTTTATTACATGCTTTTTTAAAATATTAAAATTCAAATTTAACAAAAACAAATTCAAAATTTTATTAAAAACATATTCAAATCGAAAACCTCAGCTACATATCATTATCAATTCATTATTTTATTATTTGAACAGGAAAAAAATAGTTAAAGAAAAATTTTACAAAAATTTTCGAAAGCAAATCACTTACCCAATCAATAATTAATTACCGTAAGAATTTAAAAAAAATATATTAAAGACCTGAATCACAATATCCTAAATGGTTTGTGTTTGTAATAATTTTTAATTTCTTATGTTAAAATTTCATGTTAGTTAAGTGACGCGATTTCAAAAATTTGTATGATCATAATGAAAACATAATTGAGACACAAGAAAACATTGTTATACATATAACTGTAGATATTTAAAGCGTTCACTTTTATAAGTCACTTAAATGTCAACCAAAAAATAAAAAAGTCATAAATTTTTGTAAACAATTTGTTTTGTATTTTCGTTTTGTTGAATATTTACATATTATTATGTATTAAGTTTGTATTAATTATGATTGAATAATATTATGTTTTAATAAAACTCATATTTTAGTGATAAAATATACAACTAATATTTTTTTTTTATTAAATTTTATGTGAGCTCAGTCAGTACTATATAATTGGATCTGCAAATAAATAAATATAAAAATATTAAAAAATTAATATCATAGGTAAAGAAAGTGAAGAGCGAAGTTATTAAGGGTATTAATTTTTTTAAGGAATTTATAAAAAAAAAATCAATTTATATATTTAAATATTTTATTTTAATTTCGTGTAAATGAAATGTAAATGAATTTATTAGTTCTTTTAAATAATTATTTCATTTATGACTTAATAATAAATTTTCCATAGCAAAAATAAGAAACTTATTTCGCATACCACTTTTAGTTTACTAATTTGGACTAAAATTTATATTGAAACTTAATATGAAATTCAGACAATTGACATTTTTAAGACTTACAATTCAATATTTTTTTTTTGGAAAATATAAAAAGTAAGAAAATTTAAGAATTATGCTAACAAAATATCAATAAAATACAAATTGGAATAGTGAATGCAATAACCTAAAAAAAAGGTTGATTTCGAAATCTTAAACACTAAAAGGAATAAGGGCAAACGATTAAATGTGAATTCATGCGTCAATTATACTTCTTTAGTAACTAATGCTGTGTTTCTGAATAAATCATGTTAGAGTTAGAATATGAATTTAGAAAGATGCCCTGTGTTATGTTGGAATCGTACAAAAAATTGTATTTTTTTTTGGAAAATTAATTATAAAAATTAATATTAATTATTTTATTACAGAATTATAACAATTTTATAATTTTAATAATACAATATATAGACTAATATTAAATAGTAATCGCTCTTCACTAACATTCTGCATTCGTTTTAATATTAAACACACATACATACATAAACTATGGCTGATTTAATATTTTGAAATTGTTTTTTGTTTTTCTATTTCTTATACTTATATACTAATTCTAAAAATTCATCCTTATGCCTTTTTCTACTATTTCATATCTCATAATAATTTTTATGATAATTTTCAAGAATTTAGAAAAAAAAAACATCCTCTTTCTTCTGAATTTATCATTTTTTTTTTTGTATTTTCTATGCTTTCAGAGGTATGCGTGACATAATTTTTATTAAATTTCCTAGAAGATGAGTTGGTGTAAGCTGTTAACAAAAAAAAAAACAATTTTTTATATTTTTCTGTATTTATTTTTTTTTTGTATTTGGTTTTTATATTTAAGGTTATTTATAAAATAATAAATTTAAATATTTTATTTAATATTTTTTTTCTTTTTTTTAATTTTATTGCTTTCGGAAGAAATAAAAGAATATTATATTTTAAATTTGAGATAATAAAAGTCAAGGTTTGCATTTAATTATAAAGAGAGTCAAAGAGAATTATAAAAAGTCGATGTTTTTATAAAATCGATAATATTAAGAATTCAAAATAAAAGGTCACCTCTAAGAATTCAAAAAATTTTGAATATAATAATTTTTTTTAATAATTTTTAATTGGTAGAAAATATTAATAATTTAATGTGTTTTTTAAATTTAATGATTATTTGAAAATTATTGTTAAATTAGATTTGTATTTCATTTGAAAAATATTTAAAAAAAGAGATGTTTAGTCCGGATTTTGTTTTCAAACTTCAAAAGATAATTAAAACTTCTCTTCTCAATATTAGACTTGTATTCTAATATGAATGCCTTCATTTTTGTTTTTGTTATCTTAGAGTTTATAATATATGTAATTACTGTTAAATGGATTTCTTTTGTGATTGTAAGAGAAAGCTTATTAAGTTTGAAAAACGTCGTTTGAACAAATTAAATTCAAAATTTCAATTGATTAGTTTTAAGTTGTAAGTAAGTAATTATCACTTCAAAACCAACTGAGACGATTAGATTTTGATAGAATATAGAATATTTGCAAATAATAATTAAATTTTGTTAAACTGGATTTATTCAGTTTTTGGTTTTAATTAGAGATTTTATAAAATATTTTTTTATTTAGAAGAAAATTGCACTCTAGAATATTGGGCATTTGAACAATTTATAGTTTTTAAAGCTTACATAATTTTAAAATCAATGAGATATGAATATTGTCTATAGTAAATCTTTATGAACTATTACTAATATTCAAAAATTTTTAAAAAACCAGTGTGTTAAGAAATTTTTATTAAGAATTAAGAAATTTCATATTTAATTGTTCTCTTACAAACTAAAAATCCCTTTCTTTAATTAAAATGTTTTATTTTTATTTTTACAAAGTTTCATTATAAAATTATTGAATTTGAGGGCGAATATTTATTATTTTTGAAAATAAACTTGAAAAATCGTAATAAGAAAGTTATGACCCCTAAAGCACTGATCCTTGTTTTTTTTCTTAAATTTTTTTTTCTCTATATTTCTTTGTTAATAAATCTTTTTATTAATTTTAAATAGTATTTTCTCTTGATTGGATAATAAATATAGGTATATATATATATTTTTTTTATTTTTTTAAATAATTTTTAAAAAATTTTTTGTTTTTGCATGGTTTGTCATTTTGAGCTTTTGCATTTTGCATTATTCGAAAAAAAAAAACACTAAAATAAATGAAATTGAAAATTTTGCACAAAATCTTTTTTTCTTTTTGTTAATAAAACACAATTTTTGTTTTGTTTAAAAGCTTTTTTCAAAAATTTTGCTTAACTAAAAAAAAAAAAATTCACAAAAAAAAAACATAAAAAATAGAAAATTATAATTTAACCTTGTTGAAATTTAGCAGTGACACTGAAAGTGCATCCGTTATTAAACAAAATAACAAATCAAAAAGACTACCTACATTCACAGCAATTTTTAAAAAACGTAATGAAAAATCAAAGGATAATAAAAAGGATATTGTAACAATTGAAGATCAAAAAGAAGATGAACAAAGATTAGCAACAAATACAAATGGTGAAAATAATGATGGTAATGAAAATGATTTAAAGGTTAGTTAAAATAAAAACAAAAAATATTTTTATAATTAAAAATAAAATAACAAACAAAATTTTTAGAAACTTATTAACAATCAAAAATATTATATTAGTTTTAAAGGCACAAAAATGAAATTTCAATGATTTATAGAGTATGACAGAGCTGCGGAATAGATAAAAATTATTCAAAATAATTTATTTTTAACTCTTGAATCACAACATATAATAAATTTTTTAAAATTTTAATTCAATTATCTCCTATATCTATGGTAGGCTCGTCATCTACCTAGTAAACTCAATGACGTAAGAAGCTGATGTTCACGGTTATCTACAATATCGTGCACCAGCCCTTTGCTCCTCTCAGGAAAAAAAAGAAATTCCTATATCAGTTGCAAAAATTTAGAAAATATTTAAACTTCTCCTATGATTTTCCGAATTTACATATTTTATTTCGTTTTATCGAAAAATACTTCAAAACTTTGATTTTGACACCTTTGAATCTCACTTCATAAATTATTGATTCTATTGCTCTAATTTCTCGTATCCGACTCCTAAATTACAATTTTCCCGACTTGGATTCCCTAATGTCAAGTCAGATTAAACTCGCATTAGATTTATTAATTTTAAATATAATTTGATTTCTTTGAAAAAAAAACTTTAAATAA